GGGTCACCTTGAATAAGTCATTAACCACCCTGAGCCTCAGTGTTCTCATCTGTAAAATGGCCTCATGATACCTCCCTCATAAGATTATTGAGAGGAGCAAATGAGGCCACCCATGTGACCAGGATTTGTGACCTCTGAAGTGCCCCATGGGAGCAGGGTTACCAGGCCATTGCTGCTGGCACCAGGCTCCTACTCTGAACCCCTCACCTTCTGCTGGAGCTCCTCGATGGTCCAGAAGTAGGACTGGTAGTCGGGGCACACAAGGGGATCTTGTGGCCGGCTCCGCTCCTGGATGTGGCTCTCCAGCTCCGCGCTGTCCCACTTCGGCTGCCGCACCTTCTCCAGGTAGCTGGCCAGCCGGTCATTCGGGAACTGCATGGTCTCCTTCTCGTTGCCGGTAAGGATGCCATCCCCGACCCAGCCCCCTCCACCTCCATGCTGTAGCTGCTGGCAAAGCCTCCGGAGGGGAGACAGCTGGCAGCCCTGCAGCCGCTCCTGCCCAGCCCAGCTGAGCGGGCAGAGAGACTCCAGGCCCCCCGGGACAGGCCGGAGAACTTGCAGGACCTGCTGGAGTACATCGTGGACATGCGAACGGAGACCCCACCGGCCCCTCCCGGAACCTTGAGAGGCCCTGACGAGAAGCTGGCCTTGAGGCATTTGGAAGCCATGGCTTCAGCAGCACGAGGGATCAATCTCCGAGACCAGATGCCCCCAGTGCAGAGAGGCAGCTCCTCACCCCGTGTTTATATCTCTGCCCCGGTGGGTGTTGGCCTTTACAAAGTGTTTTCTCCTCATTAAAGTTAGTACTACTTTCTATCAGAACCCCTCATTAATCTGTTATTTAGCTTCCCGTGAACATCTCCTGGCCTCGTAAAAACGGAGCCCCGTTGGACCTGTGGTTACGTCGAGACTCATCTGCGCCACCCTGTCTCCGGGAGGACCAAGTCTGTGCTTCAAAGGGGCCTGTCATCAGCACCCAGACCTCAGCCTCCTAGTTAAGAGGTGTGGGAGTCCAGCCACCATCTTTTTTTTTTTTAAATCAAGGCTGATATTATTATTATTATTATTATTATTTATTTATGACTGTGTTGGGTCTTCGTTTCTGTGCGAGGGCTTTCTCTAGTTGTGGCGAGCGGGGGCCACTCTTCATCGCAGTGAGCGGGCCTCTCGCTATCTCGGCCTCTCTTGTTGAGGAGCACAGGCTCCAGACGCGCAGGCTCAGTAATTGTGGCTCACAGGCCCAGTTGCTCCGCGGCATGTGGGATCCTCCCAGACCAGGGCGCAAACCTGCATCCCCTGCATTGGCAGGCAGACTCCCAACCACTGCGCCACCAGGGAAGCCCCCAGGCACCGTCTTGACTTTCTCCAGCATAGTCTCCTTTGATGAGCCCAAGGGAGTAGAGGAGGCCTCGGGCTGGCTCCTGGGAGATTGACAAGCAAGCCTGGTTGTTGCAGGAAGCTGGGGACCTCGCACCTAGGGAGACACAGAAGACTCTAGAATGGCCAGGGAAATAGGACCATGGTGACCAACTATCCCGGTTTCCCCATATTCTGGTTTCAGTGATAAAGCCCCATATACCGGAAACCCCTCAGTCCTGGACAAAATGGGACAGCTGGTCACCCCACATACAGCAGAGCCTCGAGGCACACAACCCCGCTCCCTTTCTTGCCAGGAAATCTGCTCTAATGAAACTTAAAAGCTTTTGCACAGCAAAGGAAACCATAAAGAAGACGAAAAGACAACCCTCAGAATAGGAGAAAATATTTGCAAACGAAGCAACTGACAAAGGATTAATCTCCAAAATATACAGGCAGCTCATGCAGCTCAATATCAAAAAAACTAACAACCCAATCCAAAAATGGGCAGAAGACCTAGATAGACATTTCTCCAAAGAAGATATACAGATTGCCAACAAACACATGAAAAGATACTCAACATCAGTATTCATTAGAGAAATGCAAATCAAAACTACAAGAGGTATCACCCCACACCAGTCAGAATGGCCATTATCAAAATATCTAGAAACAATAAATGTTGGAGAGGGTGTGGAGAAAAGGGAACCCTCTTGCACTGTTGGTGGGAATGTAAGTTGATACAGCCACTATGGAGAACAGTATGGAGATTCCTTAAAAAACTAAAAATAGAACTACCATATGACCCAGCAATCCCACTACTGGGCATATACCCTGAGAAAACCATAATTCAAAAAGAGTCATGTACTACAATGCTCATTGCCACTCTATTTACAATAGCCAGGACATGGAAGCAAACTAAGTGTCCATCGACAGATGAATGGATAAAGATGTGGCACATATATACAATGGAATATTACTCAGCCATAAAAAGAAACGAAATTGAGTTATTTGTAGTGAGGTGGATGGACCTAGAGTCTGTCATACAGAGTAAAGTAAATCAGAAAGAGAAAAACAAATACCGTATGCTAACACATATATATGGAATCTAAGAAAATAAAAATGGTTCTGATGAACCTAGGGTCAGGACAGTAATAAAGACACAGACGTAGAGAATGGACTTGAGGACATGGAGGGGGAAGGGTAAGCTGGGTCGAAGTGAGAGAGTGACATTGACATATATACAATACCAAATGTGAAATGGTTAGCTAGTGGGAAGCAGCCGCATAGCGCAGGGAGATCAGCTCAGTGCTTTGCGACCACCTAGAGGGGTGGGATAGGGATGGCGGGAGGGAGATGCAAGAGGGAGGGGATATGGGGATATACGTGTGCATATAGCTGATTCACTTATACAACAGAAACTAACACAAGATTTTAAAGCAATTATACTCCAATAAAGATGTTAAAAAAAAAAAAAGAGCAGGGGTTCCTTAACCAACACAGATGCTCTGAACAACTGGATAAAAAGGTAGAGAAAGCTGCATAAATAAAGCACCTACCACACACAGGCTGTTTGAATGCATGTGATGAGGCTGTGAATGCACTCTGCAAACTGTAGAATGCACATAAACAGGGAACACACCGCGTGGTTCGAGGAGTTGACAGCGTGATTGTCAGGTCACAAGCCTGCACCATCTGTCTGCTGTTTCCACGCAGGAGCCAGGCAGCTGGAACAGTGGCCAGAACCAGAGGCTCAGCCCACTGCCCAGCCCCTGGCTATTTCTATGGAGCAGCACCCTGGGGTGTGGTGTGCTCTGCGCATGCCCGGCCTCCCACCTCTCGTCTGAACCTCTGCCAGAGCCGGAGTTGCAGACCTCAGACCCCAGAGCAGGAGTGCGGAGCACAGAGAGCGGCAGGGCAGGGCTGAGACCACATGGACTGGCCCTGCTGCCCGGCCTCTTGCCCCAAAGCCAAGCAGGTCTGAGGTTGAGCCCTTTGGGCTCAGCTCTGAGGGTGCTGCTGGCGGGCAGTATTGGCCAGTATTGGCCGTGTAACCAAGCAAAGAGCTTGGGCCCACCTGCTGGGCTTTCCCATTCCCCACTCTCCGCCCTGGGACTGTTCATTTAATACCAGCGCTCATAGCTACCACTTCCGGGCACTGTGCACACATTGGAGCCTTCCCCCCACCCCCATTTTACAGATGCACCAGCTGGACCAGAGAGGTCACGTGATGTGGTTAGGGTGCACAGCCAGGCTCAGCACCAGCTGCTCCAGCTCTCCCGAGAGCTTCT